GAGTCTCTTTCTCCTGCTGCCATTGTGAGTGCTTGTGTGTGCGCATGTGTGAACCAATAACTTCATGGGGCTGTGTAGTGTGTTGTCTGTTTAATAAACCTTTTATTTGGACCCCTGAGTTGGGTTTTGCTTTACTATGGTTCTGGCCCTGCTCCAATCCCTGCTCCTCGCCCCTCTAACTTCTGTCTCATTTCTCCCTCTCCTGCTTCTGGCTCACTGCCACCTCCAATACCTGTCCTGAGCTCCTCTCTGCCTGCAAATTGCCTGTTTCTTTGCCACTGTCTCATCCCCAGATCTCTGCCACTCTTATTGCCTTGTCCCCACTGTCTTTTCCCCTGAGCTCCCAGGTTTCTGCCTCAGTTTCTTTCCTGGCTGTCTCCTCCTTGCCACCACTTATCTGCCCCCCCTCCCCCTAATATCTCAGCTGTCTGCCTCAGTTTCCTGCCCCAAGCTCCTAGGTTTCTGCCTCTCTCTCTTTCCTGGCTGTCCCTTCCTTGCCACCATGCTTTTTCCCTTGCACCAGTGACCCTGGGGCCACTTGATTTTAAGTAAAACCAAGCCTCAGTTCCTCAGCCAGCTTCTCTCTAGTCCACTGGTTCTAATCCCAGGTCTGGCAACTTTCACTCTCTATACTTTAACTGTCTCTCACCTTAACCTTCCCCCAAGTATTCCAGGTACCCAAAGCACACACATACATACCGTACCATCCAAGTTAGGAACTTACCTGTGTGTATGTGTAGGTGGGTTGTATGCGTGTGAACTGGTGAGTGTGTGTGTGTATATATATATGTCATTGTGTGCATGATATACAAATTAGTGATCTGCGTATGTGTACTGAGTGTGTGGGTATGGACAATTGATTTTTGTCTAACTTTTGGGGTGTATAGTGTATGTGCTTGACTTGGTGATAGATATGCATGTGCCTAGGCTGGTTTGGATGTGAATGTGCCTGAGTTGGTAGTGTGCGTGTGTGTGTGCATGCACCTAATTCATTTGTGTGTTTGTATATGTGCAATTGTGTCACACCCTCCTGTCTAACAGTGCAATATTGAGATCCTGAGAGTTGACCTGACCCCACAGGACCCCACACCTCCTTCCAGCACTAGCTCCCAGCCATCAGGCAATACAGATGGGGGTTGGAGGAAGAGGCAGGGGTTGGGCAGGGAGCAGGGGCTTGAAAGAGGATCCGGCACACTTCTGTTGTCCACAGTCAAGCCCAGCTTCCCCACCCAATTGCTCCACACAGCCCCCAGCTGAAGTAGGGCACGAGCAGCTCTGCCCACTGCCCCAAGATCAGATGGGGACAGCAGCAGTGGTGTTGGCAGGAAGTAGTAGGTAAGTCCCTCCCTTTGCATGCCTTCTCCCTACCTATCTCTCAAGTATCTCCAACCAGCCCAGAGGCTGCATGCCCCCATCTCCCCATGGCCCTGGGGGCAGTGTGCTGCACCCCTCTTAAGGAAATCCTGGATCTACCCATGGCCCAAGCACTCCTATCCCTGCTGCCACCCAACACTTCAGGCGAGCACACTGCAGACTTCAGTCAATTGCAGGCTACTGAAATTTACTGAACTCAAGTTTAGGGGAGAAGGCAAAGTTGAAATGTGATAATTTCCCCATCCACTCCTTGGAGCCCTGCAAAGCATGGGTGCAAGCACTGCCTCCACTTCACCAACTGTAAGGCATTCTGGACTATGTACTCACTCCACCTCATGGTGTTGGAGCCACAGCACTGTACGTAGCCATGAACTGGTTCTGAATCAGTGACATTTGGGAATGGTTCTATTGTTGCATGTGCCTGAACCCTGTCCTGCAACAATTATGAACCAGTTCTCAATCATTGACAATTTGGGAGAGTTCAATTGTTACATGTGTCCTCACCCTCTATATGTGGAGAAAAAAAGAAAGAAGAGTTTGTCAGAAATTCCATGAAAGAAATCTTACAGAAATTTTTCCCTACCAGGGCTCCCTTTGCAGACTTTCCTTGTAGGAATTTTGAAAGAAAGACATTTTTGCCTGTGTTATCTGCCTCTTTTCCTCTCTGCTTTCTTCCACCATCTTTCTTGAACTCTTCCCCTTTACATTTCTGAGATTTTTCTTTTCTAGCCCTCCCTTTGAAAGCTCTAATGATAAATAGTTTGAGTCTTAGACCAGGTAGTAGGAGAGTATCTGTTTGGTCATGCATACATTGTTTTTAAAATGGTATGTTTTAAGTTAGCAGTCTCCACAGATCTCTGCCTTTTCTAAGATATTAAGAAGAGTTGGTCATAATGCATACTCTTGTTCTGTGCAGGTCACAACTAACTCATCCCTGGGACTCATGCCTCATTTCAGAGTCCTAAGTCTAAATCATGCAATTTCCATTCAAAACAATAGGAATGAAACAGATAAGGCCTGACACTTAAAATATAATTTGTACTTCTCTATGTGGGCTCTGTGAATTGTCTGCTAGGGGCACTCCTCTTCTGTAAACCAGAGGATCAAAAAATAGTCACTAGGAGTAAGGCAGTAACAGGAGAACTGATAGGAAATTGCTTTTTGTAGTCTCTAAAACAAGTCTTATAACTTCTCATATTTCCAGTTCTTGGTCTTTGTTATTCCAGGACTATAGCTAATTGGAAGGAAACACACATAGTCAATCCCTTTTTTAATGATTGAAGAACAGGATGTTAAATCTCACTCTATATCATGCTACTCAATCATATTAATTCATGGTTTGAATGGGCAAAAAAGTCACTTCAGGATCTGTGACAACTTCTGGCATGTAATGCACTTTTATTAATTCACTCTTAATGGAAAGGAACATCTACTCTCTATTATATTTATTATTTGTAAAACCCAGTGTGCCACAAACACTCTGCACAAATAGGATTCTATTGCCCTGAAGAGTTTATATGCAAGCATACTATGCTACAAATTAAAAGCCAAAAGCTGCCTGCTTTACTCGTGTAAGTGTCTCATTGACTTCATTAGGACTTGTGAGCAGAGGTGTAATTAGCAAGGTTTGCACCCTGGGCAAAATCTTGCTGCAGAACAAGGGTGAGGGGGAGAGGCAGGATGTGGTACTGTGTTATGGGAGGGGGTGCCAAGTGCCAGGAAAGTAGTCTTAACTGGCCTGGGGACTAAAACAAATAATCCCCAGCTGATGCTGCCATGGTGCAGTCTCCCCACCCCAGTTGATGCTATTACAGCAGCAAGGTGGTGCTGCTACTGTTGCCACAGCACAGACTCCCATTCTGGTTGGCACTTGGGGCTCACCCATCCCAAATTAAGCTGCTGCTTCTGGGATGATGAATTCAAGCAATATTTGGGCAATTAAACAGGAACAGAAGTAGGGAGTATTTTTTCAGAATAAAAGAGTACTGAATTATTTAAACAATGTAATAGGGTAGCCATGAGCAACCTATTGTCACAATTGTATCAAATGGAACCAGATTACAACCAGGAAACAGACTCACGAACAATACTAACATACTTTAGGATTTCCTAGTAGCAAAACCCGTTTCTTTTTTTTTTTAATTTATTTTAAAATGCATTCCCTCCCCTTTCCCAACCATTTCTGACTTTATCTCTCCCTCTCTTCCCTATAGATAAGTATAAGTGAGCTCAGACTTAGGATGAGCTTTAACATTTCTATTTTGGTAGCAAGTTTTTGGTTTTGGATATCCACTGTTTTATATTATATTATTATTAGGTTTGTATTGATTCTTATTGTTGTATATTGTATTATTATTATTTTTGTATTGATTTTTATTGTTTCATATGGATATTGTATGGTTTAGGCCTGCATTTGTAAGTGAACCAAAGTCATGTCAAGTTTCCATTTTATATGTCAAGCCTCCATCTTGTGTCCTCTGCCTGGGCATCCCATGTTGCAACTGTATGAGTCACGTACCCCTCCCATGGTAAATTGGTTCCCAGATAAATGAGAATAATTGGGAATGATTGAAACACAATGGTAGCAGGCCTCTACTGAATGGCCTGTAATGAATGGCCCATCACCTTGCATTGATTCATCCAGGAACCATGGACCTCACCCAGGAACAGAGACAAGAACCCAGCATTTGAAAGAGAAAAAAGTCCTGCAGAACCAGCAACTCGACCATTGTACCCCACCATTACAGACACCCAAAACTGCACATCCCTGCATGGAGTGCACACGCTCAGTATGCCAGGGGCTGACCCTTCTGTCACTAGGGTCACACAAGGTCTGCCCCTACAAAAAGGGGCAGTGAAGACAGACCCAGTGGGATGCCCTCTCCATCTGGACCAGCATCATGCCACACCACCTATCCACCCAGAGGCTTTGCCGGCAACCCCCCTCTGGACAACACCTACTAGACAATCACTCCCCCCACCCCCTCTTCAACCAAGGACTTGGACTAACTTCTCTTCCTCACCTGAACTCCAGCCCTTTCACTGAGCCTCTGTAACCCCTGCTGCCATTGTGTGTGTGTGTGGGTGAGTGGGTGCAAGGAAACCAATAAGACATTGTGTCACCATCTCCATTGTTCAATAAAACCACTGTCATTTGCAACCCCAATTTGGGTCATGTGTTACTGAGTCCCAGTCCCTTCCCTATCTTAAATTCCAGCCTCATTTTCTCTCTCTCTCAGATCCAGTCCCCACCCCTCTCCACTAATTTCCCAATCTCCTCCCAATTCCATCTCCCTTTTTCTGTCACCTCTCAGTCTTCCCTGCTCCTACTGCCTTTTCCCTGTGACTTTCTGCTGCCTTCCTCTGCTTTCCTGCTGCCCTGCCACCTGCTGCTTTTCCTGTGATTTTCTGCTGTCCATCTCTCTGTTTTCAGGCTTCCCCTGTACCTTCTGTATTCCTCCCCCCCACCCTGAGGGGGGTCCAGAGAAGGGCCACTCGTATGGTTAAGGGCTTGCAGGCCAAGGCCTACAAGGAGATACTAGAGCACCTGGACCTCTTCAGCCTTTGCAAGAGAAGGTTGAGAGGTGAGCTTGTGGCTGCCTATACGTTCATCATGAGTGCGCAGAAGGGAATTGGTGAGGCTTTACTCACCAAGGCGCCCCTGGGGGTCACAAGAAATAATGGCCATAAGCTAGCAGAAAGCAGATTGAGACTGGACATTAGGAGGAACTTCTTCACAGTTAAGAGTGTCTCAGTTCTTCTGCCCAGGGCCCTCTAGTCTACCAGTTCTAATCCCGGTTCTGGCAACTTTCACTCCCTACACTTTAACTCTCTCTCTCTCACCTGAACCTTCCCCCGAGTATCCCAGGTACCCAAAGCACACACAAACACACTGTACCATCCAAGTTAGGAGCTTACCTGTGTGTGTAATATATATATATGGCAGTGTGTGCATGATATACAAATTAGTGATCTGTGTCTAACTGCTGGTGTGTATGTGCTTGAATTGGTGATAGGTATGCATGTGCCTAGGCTGGTTTGGATGTGTATGTGCCTGAGCTGGTAGTGTGCGTGTATATGCACCTAATTGATTTGTGTGTTTGTATATGTGCAATTGTGTCACACCCTCCTGTCTAACAGCGCAATATTGAGATCATGAGAGCTAGCCTGACCCCACAGGCCTACATCCGCATCTTAGTGTGACATCACTCAACAAAATGCACATATAGAAGACAAGGGGAGATAAGGAGAATTATGAAAGATTGAAAGCCTACTGGTTGTGCAAGAGTGATGTGGTAGCCATGATGGTCCAGGAATTATGTGAGTGGTAAGGATTGTTTTGGGTAATATCTTTTACTGGTTCAACTCTATAGCTAGAATAAAATTAGACACACTTTTAAATGCAAACCATTTTTCTTCAGGTCATCTAAAGAATGTTTTGCATTTGAAAACTTGTCTAACTTTATCCCAACTATACACTTTATGCAGTAAAAGATATCATCCCCAAAAATCCTTGCCCCTCACAAAAAAGTCTGCTGGCATTATTTATATCATGAGCAACAGTGGGATTAAAAAACAAAACCAGGACCAGGTGGCTTCAGCATTTCTAGTTGCCCAGAATTACAATTAGCTGCCCAGATAGATGGGAATAATCAGCATCCCATTTCCTCTCACTTACATAGCAGGGAAAACATCTCAGACCTCTACTTTATTCCATGGGCATTTTATATTAATTTAATAAAGAACATTTTCATAACAACAATACAGTCAGATATACTGACCCAGACTGGGTGATTTAAGGCACAGCTTTGAGCAAGGGGTGGAGTATAAATTTCACCACAGCAAAAGTAATTCTCACTGACATAGACTCTGACACTGCACCAAAAAGAAAACTATTTCCTGCTTCCTTCTGGAGAGACAAAATCCCTTTCCTGCTTCTTCCCAGTGATTTGAAGGGGCTTCTAGAGAAGGTGGAGAAGGCATAAGCAGTGGGATAGTTACACTTATTCTTATATACTAAGTCTCAAATTAGGCATAGCCCTAGAAGGGGAATATATTCACTTATATGGGGTACATGGTCAAGTTGAGAATCTAGGCTTTAAAATATATAGTGTAAGTTATGTTAAAATATATCAACATGCAAAGAAAGGATTGGGCTTTATTTTCTTCTCACAAAGCAAGCACGCACCATTACCTGCAAAAGAAAACTTACATTTTTATGATTCACACACTTCATGAGGACCAGCTCCCTGTAAGCTCGTTTGGCATGTGTTTGGTTCTGAAATGGTCTGCTGAGCTTCTTAATGGCCACATTTCTGTCAAGGACGGCATCATAAGCAGCGCTGTAGTGATTACAAACACAGGATGTGTGTGTTTTAGAGGAAATTCTTCAGCTTTAAAAGTGAATTGCAAGTCCCATTCAGGTGGTTTCTGCACTGATCAAGGACTGCAGAGGAGGGCATGGAAAGAAGAATTGGCAAGAAAAACACCCACAGCCACATACACATAAAGAGTGAGAACTGTCTCAGTGGAAGAAGTACACCCCTGGAACTATCAATTTCAACAGGAAAATCAGTTTTTACATGCAAAGATGGGGGAAACAACTGACATAGTTGCTTTTTCCACACCATTAACAGAGTCCCATTCAGTAGCTGGCTGAAAGATCAAAGACCCAAGTCCCTATAAGAAGTTTTGTATTTTTCAGATGAAACTACCCCTCACTTGACCCTATCCCTCATTTGTAAATGTGTTTTGTTCACATTAGGCACATCTCCATGTGCGCTTTTTAATGCCCAAATGTGAATTAAAACAGGCTAATGTGCCTTTTTCAAGTACCTCACAATGGAGGTATTAAATTTAATGTGCATTAATGAACGTGTAGACATGCCCACTGAATCATCAGATTTGAAATCACAACTCTAAGGGGAATTAAACAATTTCACAATAATATTTTTCACATGTATAATTTAAAGAAATAACTTGTAAATTTCACTTAAGCATGAAAATGTAAAAGAATTTAGAAAAAAAAGAGAAAGACTCTAGGAGTTTCTTTGCCCAAGCATTGATTTAGGAGACTAAGTTTATCTGTAAAAATGTTGACCATAATCTCTATACTTTTTGAAAGCTGACTCCTTCCACAAACAAATTAAATATCAGTTCTCTGGACCCTTCCTGAGATCTTGTCACAATAGTCAGGCAAGAACCTGAGAAAAGGTATAATCTGAGATTCAATAGGTTTAGTCTCTTGCACTAGCAGAGAAAACCAATTTCAGAATTGAACACTATCATCTACCTGAACCCTGTTATCTGCACATAATATAAAGAACCAATATGGCCAATGTGATCATCCATCTGAGGAATCTTAACTGCTAAAACACATTAGAAGAAATAAGTATTCTCCAAGGGCTTGTCCACACATGCAGGCACATGCGCTTGCAACAGCTCAAATAGGAGCAGCACAAATTTGTGCTGGGGATATTTGCCTCCGTGCATGTGACTGAACATGCACTTTGGTGTGGGACAAGTTGTGCCACTTGGGGCAAAATGATCTGACCAGCTCCTCCTGGGTCTGCATCCAGGGGAAGCTAGAGCCTGGGGTCAGCACCTATGCTGACTGCAGCAGTATAAAAAGCTGCCCTGGCCAGCAGCTCAGGGCTAGTTGCTCTGAGGAGCTTCTGGGGCCCAGCCAATTGGTATCGAGGACACCGGCCCCTTGTGCTGAAAGAGACATAGGTGCCTCATGTTTTTTTATTAGAGAATTAAGCATCAACCCTGTGACTCTTGTGGAAAATCAGTCCATGGAATGGCACAGGAAGATGAAAGGAGGAAAAACTGGGAAAAATCTGGATTCTTTCCATCTCATAGAACCAGTAAAGATCTGACATGATTCATTATTTTATCAAGCCCTATGACAAGGACCTGGTTACCTTCTAGATGAAGAAATGTACAAGCCATGTTACTGTTTCATCAGCCAAAATGCCTAGTGCAGAGGCATAACTATTCAGTGATGCACTCTGGGCAGCACTGGTGCATGGTACAGGAGCAGCTGTTGGAGGTTCACTGCTGCAGGGAGCAGGAGGTGAGAGAGGGGAGGGATGCCACTTCTACTTTTGGTTAAATCTGCACAGCAAGAAACTGTTGATCTACTTTTTGAGATGCTGTAGCAAATGAAGAATGGCACTGAATTGATATTCAGGTTACTGCTTCTACTCTTACCTCTGTGTTCTGTGACCTTGAGCACATCACATTATTTCTTCCAATTGGTTTACACATATGTAAATTAGGTCTAATGATATTTGCTTCTACCTACCATTAGGGTCTGGTGAGCATTTGTTTGTTTTTTGGTTTTCTTTTTTTTTTTTTGGCAACTAATTTAATTAATTCCCCTTCCTCTCCCATTCCTTCCAAATGGACATGCAGTTTTAGTTGTCTGTAACTATTCATAGATTGTGGTCCAATTCCTTGAGTGGAAAATACATTTTTGGGCCACAATCATGTGAATACTGGAGGGGAATAGGGCAACCCATCTTCCTCTAACAGCCATATGACTAGGTTATCTGCCCAACTTGTGGAAAACCCAGGTTCAATTTCATCCTCTGCCTGAGGGAACTGGCACCTGCCTCTTCCACCGTAGTTCAGGACAGACTGCACTGAGGATGCTGTCACTCTCTCTTCTTGATGCTGTGGCACTTTGTATTAATGCTTAAATGTCCATGAAAGCAGAGAATTGCCCTAATCAGCAGTCTAGTGAACCATTAGTCATCTTGTCCTCAGTTTATACTTTATTTTGACAATAATTTTGGTTTCTTTCCTCCCTCATTTTGGTGAAACAAGCCAAAAATGTTATAGCTCCTTTTCACTGCAGAAAGTCAGGGTTGTTAGAGTATCTTGCTACAGATGCTACATTAAGCCTTTCTCCAGACCACTCCACCTAGCTATAAATGGATACTTTGTCATTCAGCCTAGGGGGTCAAAAGCAGCTGACATGACACTGGCCATACCACTTCCTTCTGTGCAGTTTCCTACAGAAACTCATGTGCCTTAACCTCATGAGTTCAATGGGTCACCTGACTATGGCACAGATTCTTGACTTTACATTGCAGCTCTGGCTTAAAAGGTCCACAAGCAGGATCTAGAATCTCAGATCATTCTTGACAACTGACCAAATATCTATACTGCATTGAAATGGAAAGGTTTTCTTTAAGATAATCCTAGAAGAACTTTTTGTGTTATAACTTTACCAAACAATCTTTTGTAACTCTGGCACACTTGTTAATGTTGAATAAATGACACAAATGGAGTTTCTATTTAATACCTGCAACAATTCCAAAAACCCAGAATACAACCTCTATCCCTATCCTGTAGCTCTGGTGTATGATTGGACTGATCATGTGAAAAAC